CGACGGAACCAACCCATATTGGTGGGGGGGGGGGAAGCTGGACCTCAGTTTGTCTCCACCAGTATTTATGGGTTGTGTCATTGGTCAGTTGACCATGTACTGACTAGTGACCACTTTCCTACAAAAAACAGTTATTAATATAGCATTACCTCCCAGACCTCCAGCTCCCGAGCCCGGATGGGATTTTATCAAAGCAGATTGGACGAGGTTTCAGGAATCTATTGAAACTAAAAAAAACTACACCCCTCCTGAAAACACCGAATAGAAAAAGATTATTAAATGCAATACATAGAGCAGCAAATCACGCCATCCCCAAGAGGAAAACAATTACATAACAACATAGGGCCCATTGGTATTACTGTGACATTAAAGACTAAATTGTGCCCGAAAGATTTTCAGAAGAGATAGAACCGAAGCTAATCTAGGACTTCTTAGAGCTGTCGGTGATCAAGTGCATAAGCAGAAAAAAATCAGAGAAGCAAATGGTTCGAGTGGTGTGCCAAGCTAAATCAGCATATTTCCTTGGGCGACATCTGGAGGCAGATCAACAGAGCCAAAGGAAAATCACCTCATGCTCTGCTCCATCATGTTCATCCAGAGCAAAAAGCATAAAGCTTAGCAAATCTATTTGCTTCATGAACCAGTTCCACTCAACTTCCTCAAGCAACTCTAACTCACCAACAAAGACCTCAAGCAGCAAGATGGAAAATAATAGACGATGCTTCAGCCTTACCTGACAAACTAGAACACCATAAATAGCCACCATAACCTTTCAAACTGAAAGAAGTCAGAAGACCTACAAAGAATACTAAAAACACAACTTTTGGTGATGACATAATCACTTACATCATGCTGGCCACGCTAAGAAAAAAGAGTGAAGAAGTTTTTTTGAATCTCATCAACAGAGTATAGGTGACAAGAACTCAACCACTCTCTTGGAATAGTGCAATTATAGTTCCCATTCCAAAACCCAAAGACCCAGGAAATCCAAGACCCATCTCATTAAAAAGCTGTCTGGCTAAAACTGCGGAAAGAATGGCTCTTAATCGAATTGACTGGAATGCCAATCAACTGCACCAAAATATGTTTGCTAACAGAAAAGGTTTTGGAACCACAGAATATCTTACCACCTTCCTGGATCAAATCAATGACAAATCAGGAATCCTTATTTTTCTGGACAGAGAAAAAGCCTTCGAGCTAGTAATTGCTCCAGCTACACTGTGCTGCCGGGTGGATAAGGAAATCAAAAGAGACGCTCTTGCCTTTGCCAAAGGAAGCCTGCTTAACCGAGAAGTTAAAGTCAAATTCCAATGAAAACATCCTCCTCAAAGAGGCTGGAAAATGGAACTCTGCAGGGAGGAATACTAAGCCCCTTCCTCTTCAACTGTCTCATGGAACAATTCATGAAGCTCAAACTACCAAATGCCAAACTGCTAACTATGCAGACGACTTTGTGGTCATCATCAAAGACAAAGGTGCCAGGAAGTATGCACAAAAATGTCTATACATCATCAGCAGGGAAGCAGAACGCATAGCAATGAAAATAAACAACAGTAAAACCAAAGCAATGACCATTAAATTAAAAACTTAAGATATCAGTCTCGCAATACATGGACATGAAATGGAGTGGGTTACCTCTTTTCAATACCTTGGAGTCATAATAACCAGCCAGTTGAAATTCACTCAAAAAATTAATATCTTCGGCAACGTTGTAAAGCCAGAAGCTCAGTTCTGCGCTCCCTGAAAAGTCTTAGAGATGGTGCATCTCTACCAGTACTCAAAATGTACTACGTTCAAGCAATTAGGTCACTCATTAACTATGATGCTCCTGCTCTTATATCCCTCAGTGATAACCAATGCGAGAAACTTGAGGTGTCTCAAAATGATGCCTTCAAAACAATGCTGGGAGCACCTATATGGACGCGTCGAGAGAATCTAAGAATGAAAACCAACTTACCAGTCTTAGAAAAAAGGATCAAACAAAGTTATATATATATATATATATATATATATTATATATATATATATATATATATATATATATATATATATATATATATATATATAACTGAAAACTCACACCCCAGAAGTGACTCGAACCCATACTCCCAGGAGCAACGACACTGGAATGTACAAGACGCCTTAATCCACTTGACCATCACGACCGGACAAAATGAGGTGATAGCCGAAGCTATTTGAACCACCCCACCGCCGGCACTCAGATAGTAATCTTGGGAATAGCATTTTACCAAATCACCTCATTCTTTGGGGCACACGTGAGGAACACAAATGCGAACAAGCCTGAATGGTCCCCAGGACAATATGCAACTGAAAACTCACACCCCAGACGTGACTCGAACCCATACTCCCAGGAGCAATGCAACTGGTATGTACAAGACGCCTTAATCCACTTGACCATCACGACCGGACAAAATGAGGTGATACCCGAAGCTATTTGAACCACCCCACCGCCGGCACTCGGATAGTAATCTTGGGCATAGCATTTTACCAAATCACCTCATTCTTTGGGGCACACGTGAGGAACACAAATGCGAACAAGCCTGAATGGTCCCCAGGACAATATGCAACTGAAAACTCACACCCCAGAAGTGACTCGAACCCATACTCCCAGGAGCAACGCAACTGGTATGTACAAGACGCCTTAATCCACTTGACCATCACGACCGGACAAAATGAGGTGTTCGCATTTGTGTTCCTCACGTGTGCCCCAAAGAATGAGGTGATTTGGTAAAATGCTATGCCCAAGATTACTATCCGAGTGCCGGCGGTGGGGTGGTTCAAATAGCTTCGGCTATCACCTCATTTTGTCCGGTCGTGATGGTCAAGTGGATTAAGGCGTCTTGTACATACCAGTTGCGTTGCTCCTGGGAGTATGGGTTCGAGTCACTTCTGGGGTGTGAGTTTTCAGTTGCATATTGTCCTGGGGACCATTCAGGCTTGTTCGCATTTGTGTTCCTCACGTGTGCCCCAAAGAATGAGGTGATTTGGTAAAATGCTATGCCCAAGATTACTATCCGAGTGCCGGCAGTGGGGTGGTTCAAATAGCTTTGGCTATCACCTCATTTTGTCCGGTCGTGATGGTCAAGTGGATTAAGGCGTCTTGTACATACCAGTTGCGTTGCTCCTGGGAGTATGGGTTCGAGTCACTTCTGGGGTGTGAGTTTTCAGTTGCATATTGTCCTGGGGACTATTCAGGCTTGTTCGCATATATATATATATATATATATATATATATATATATATATATATATATATATTTATATTCCTGGATATATAATATATTTTTCAAGACAGAGAAAAAGCCTTCGAGCTAGTCATTGCTCCAGCTACACTGTGCTGCCGGGTGGATAAGGAAATCAAAAGAGACGCTCTTGTCTTTACCAAAGGAAACCTGCTTAATCGAGAAGTTAAAGTCAAATTCTAATGAAAACATCCTCCTCAAAGAGGCTGGAAAATGGGACTCTGCAGGGAGGAATACTAAGCCCCTTCCTCTTCAACTGTCTTATGGAACAATTCATGAAGCTCAAACTACCAAATGCCAAACTGCTAACTATGCAGACGACTTTGTGATCATCATCAAGACAAAGGTGCCAGGAAATATGCACAAAAATGTCTGTACATCATCAGCAGGGAAGCAGAACGCATAGCAATGAAAATATATAACAGCAAAACTTGTTGGAACCATCGCCAGACTATCAGTCAAAGATAGCTTCTTGAGGTTATCTTGAGATGATTTCAGGGTTTTTAGTGTCCCCGCGGCCCGGTCCTCGACCAGGCCTCCACCCCCAGGAAGCAGCCCGTGACAGCTGACTAACTCCCAGGTACCTATTTACTGCTAGGTAACAGGGGCATTCAGGGTGAAAGAAACTTTGCCCATTGTTTCTGCCTCGTGCGGGAATCGAACCCGCGCCACAGAATTACGAGTCCTGCGCGCTATCCACCAGACTACGAGGCCCCGTAGCATACACAGATCGCTTCAGAGAAACCTTCAATATAGAACAAGTGCATGGATGGATAATCTGGTCCAGATTCTAGAGAAAGTAGACTTGAAATGGGCCATTAAAAACAAAAGGGGAAGATAGACCATATCAATACTTTTAGCAGCCTCCTCCATGGGAAGAATCGAGTCTAAAGATAATCATTGAAGGAGTTCCAGTTATAAAATCTGCATGTGACTCACAGAGGATCAAAGCAGTCATTGAACAACAAATGGAAATCATCTCAAGACCTACAACCACTCCAATATTCACAGATGGATCAGTTGATCAAGAAAGAGGTTCCGCTGGGGCAGCAGTTTACACTAACAACCATAATGCTTACTGGAGCATGAATAGTGGGTGTTCAACATTGTAAACAGAATTATAGGCCCTGAAGTAGGCCATAAAATTATACAATTGTGAATAATTTACATGATGTCAACATTCATACCAATTCTAAATCTTTGCTTGCTTAAATCTTTGCTTGCTTAAATCTTTGCTTTGCTTTATCCAGCCAGAGATAATATACAACTCATCACAGAAATCCTACGTAGAGGAAAAGAATCACACAATCTAGGGATGTCATTCACCTTAAATTGTATACCAAGTCACATTGGCATAGATGGTAATGAAAAGGCAGACTCACTAGCAAAAACTGACACTGCTTTACCTGTTGTACAGGTTAAAATATCTCAAAGTTTTTCACAGATTAAAGAGCAAATCAAGAGGAAAAAACTCACAACTATCAAAAGTCGTCACAGAGCCAAAGTAGCGGAAGGAAGATCCACTGTAATGTGGACCGAGCAAGCTACTGGGTACTACTCTTTCAAGCCTGGCAAGAAGATATCCAGAGACATTGCAGTAGCCATACACAGATTTAGACTTGGTTACAAATTCTGCTGGAGATAATAAACCCAATAGTTAAAGAGTGTCATATCTGTAGAACAGATGTAGACACCCCTAAGGCATTACTTACTGGAATGTGAAGCAACTGATGTCCTGCACATCAAACTCAACATTAATCCAACGAGAGCAGCACCATTAGATGCAAATTCCACAGCAACTACAATGATAAGAAAAGCAGTTGAAAATGGGACACACTAGTAAACATTCTGCATCTACATTTGCCATCAAGATAATATTATTAAAACAAGACTGAAATCAGAGCGCTAAAACAGAAGTAAAAAAGTAACAGGGAAAAAGGAGGAAATCCCCAACTCCATTTAAAACTTTGACCCAAATATCACAGTAACAAGGTTATTGCGAATAGCCGAACTCAATTATAGGCTCACAATATCCTGTGCTACATGGACATTTCGTTCTGAGTAGCTATATCTAAAACAACAACAACGATAGTATGAGCCAATACGCCTTCTGCAGATACTTTCATTTTTATGTTCCTATGTTCTTATGATATAACTGGGAGTTACTATATGGTTCCAACAGCTCTCCTTTCTTGCCGCTCTTCTCCAATTTCATTCTTATATTTAATATAGAATCTCTTAACTAGAAATAATCTAAGAATATGGGATTTAATATTAAATAAATGAAAATGGGATTAAATATGCAGTTATGTAAATCAGATTTATTGAGGGAAGATGAAAGCTGGCTGGCTGATGACTCCTTTGAACATTAAAAATTTCTGGAACCATGTATGTCGCCGATGTTGGAAATTTCCAACACTAATACAATACTATTGTATTATAATAAATCAGTATTAAAATATACTAATTACAGTAGTTACTAAAACTTACTAACAGTAATGTTCACATAAACTAACTATTATATCTGCATATGGATACTGGAATTCTTACGAAACCAAGCACCAGTATTGCGTCAGATTATATCTAGTTAAACACATTTATAGCCAGTGTGTTAGAGAATTGAATGTGATTCTCTAAAATCATCAGTATTCCGTGTGATAATTATTTATGGATAACATAACTCCCAGATAATTCTAAATCGAGAGTTTTTAGTTACAATTGTTATCAAGTAAGAAATTTACCGTCACGCATGAATGCCATGGAGAAAACTAAAATCTTCTCAATTTCTTGTTTACTACCATGAGACGAGAAAGTAATAATATTTAAATCCCTAGAATTACAACCCAGTCTTTATTAAAGTCTTTCAGCCACAATTGCGTGAAATAATATTATTCGTGATAAATAATTTCTGTGGTGAATGCGGGGACGCGGATTGAAGAAGGAGGAGAGACGCCATTGTGTGGGAGTGGTGGACTCGTGTTGCGGAATTGAGCAACAAAGGTCGTGGCGTCAGAGTCTGAGACACGTGACGTTGGGATTATCAGCAAGAATTACACTGATACTCAACCCAGAATGAATAATTATTATTCTACGTAATCTGCAGTGCTCGGTCAACTAATAACGCGTCGATATTCAAGCCAAGCTATCAACCACGTGTACGACATTGTGGAAGTTTGAGACTGAGACGCGATACCGGCAGGCTTCAACATAATATGCACCTTTCGATAAGTATATAGTTCTTTTTTGATGCATCATTAGAGATTGTATATGTCGTGGCCAGCCTGTCGTTATATCGAACGACTACAAAAAATCCAACGTTAGTACCGCACTAATTTTTATTTTATATTTCATGAATATTGAGATTTAAGTAGCCTAGTTCAATGCTACGTAATATCCCTTAAATTACAGCTCGTATGTGAGGAGTCAACGAGCTGTTACCTACATTCGTGTTATTCACCTCTAAGGGCTTCTATGTGGAACTCCTGAGATCACGAGGACGAGACGTGAATGATGTCATAGAAATCGTCTTAAAGCTAAGACTTTTTGTACACATTTAATTACTCCAATTTTTGCTATTTGTTTCATGATTCTATCAAATTGAATACTCGTCATGTACACTGGAGATAATATGTGTTTATTTAGATGATTGCCTTCTAATGCTAATAATCTTTATAATTTCTATTGGTAATCGCCTATTGATTCTTTAATATTTTGGTCACAACATTATTTATCAAACAATGAACTGGTGTACGAACCACACTAGTTCCTAGACGTATATGAAGTTCTAGCAATACCCCCCCAATGTTTGTGTTTGAGGCTTTGACTTTAGTTAATTAACCATACAACCCATTAATTATTTAAGTGATTATGCTTTCTAATATTTATCCATAGACACTGGTTCTTCCTTGTGTTTATAATGATCAATTTTTATTAGTTTCCCTCTTTTCTTAAAAGTGGGTGGTCCTTCGTAATTGATTTAATTAATTTAATAATTAAATAAATTGAGTCAAGCCCAGATATCCCACAGCCGAGGTAACTAAATTTAGTGATGACGGGAAGGAGCCGTTAAATTTCAATGTAAAATATATGAGGGGCCAGAAGGGTGGCATTTTTAATATCCACGGAAAAAGAATCAGGGGCTAGTAGAGAGCAAATACCCATGTTCATGGAAAAAACGGTGCTGTCACCCACGTTCAAGGAAAATAATTTGGTGCCAATGGGCAGCCGACGAAAAAATTAAAACGGCTCCCCGTTGGCCCGATTTATACTACTAAGGGCCTTTCAGTATCAGTCTAGCACATGGAGGAGCATTTCATTTCCATTCTAGAACAGAGGGGGGCGTTTCAGTATCAGTTTAGGACAGGAGGAACATTGCAGTGTCAGTCTTGCACAGGAAGGAACCTTGCAATTATTTTTTTTTTATTATTATTTTCTACTACAGACGTGGCCACACGTTTACAATGCTAAGCAACATATATACATTTTCTTCTGTCCTCCATGGACAGGGTTAGAGATGTGTTAAACATATAGTTCAAGGGTTTATTGAACAATCAACCACAGAAGGTGATTCGGTGCTTTTAAAATGCTAAGCTAACCTACATACGTAAATACATAGATGCACAGATTTACGTATGCCCTACATAAAGTGTTCGATGTGTCTTTTACATTGTGTCATTAATGTGCATTTACAAAGGTGCAATGTAATTCTGATCAGCTTCCATATATACTTTATACACATGCATATACATGCACACACACACACACACATACGTAAACATACATATATACATGCATATATACACACACACATGCATTCACATACATTTGTCTCTTTTACTCTGACAGGGTGAGATAGCTGATAGAGAAACTAGTGTGCAATTAAGCACTTAATCACTGAAGGTGATGAAGGTGCTTTTACAAGCTCAGGTTATATAGTTACATCACATACATACATTGTATAATTGATACATTACATGGTTAATCATGGGTACAATTCTAATATATCATCAAGTGTTCCAGTACTCATATAGTAATTACACAGTTCAGCATACCTTAGCCCAGGAGGGCGAAAGTCAGTCAATATTGGACATTCTACAATATAATGTTCAAAAGAGCCTTGCAGTGTCAGTCTAGCACAGGGAGGACCGTTTCAGTATCAGTCTATCACAGGGAGGAGCATTTCAGTGTCTGTGAAGCACAGATAGAAGCATTTCAGTATCACTAGCTCATAGAGGAGTGTGTCTCTGTCAGTCTAGCACAGAGATGGACCGTATTAATATCAGTCTAGCACAGGGATGAGCGTTTCAGTGTCAGTCTAGTACAGAGAGGAGCCTTTCAGTTCCAGTCTTGCAGAAGGAGAAGAGTGCCAGTGTTGAACAAGGAGATGAGTTTTAGTGCCAGTCTAGCATAGTGTAGAGAGTTTCGGTGTCAGTTAGCAAAGGGAGAAGCCTTATATTGTCATTCTAGCACAATGATGAGCGTTTCAGTGAAGCACAAGGAAGAGCCTTTCAGAGTCAGTCTAACACAGATAGGGGGCGTTTCAGTGTCAGTCTAGCACAAAGAGGAGACTTTCAGTGTCATTCTACCAGAGGGAGAAGCATCTGATTCAGTCTAGCACAACGAGGATCGTTTTATTCAGTCAAGAACAGGGAGGAGCGTTTCAGTCTCAGTTTAGCAAAGATAGGAGCGTTTCAGTGTCACTTTAGAACAGGAACGAGAATTTCACTGTTAGTCCAGATCAGGTACCAGAGTTTTACTTTCCGTCTAGCTCAGGAACGAGCGTTTCAATGTCAGTCTAGCACTAGGACGAGCGTATCAGTTTCAATTTATCACAAGGAGGAGTCTTTCAGTGTCAGTCGGACAATGGAAGAAGCCTTTCAGTGCCAGTCAAGCAGAGAGAGAAGGGTTTCGTTGTCAATCTAGCACATGGAGGATAGCTTCATTGTCACTCTAGCACATGGAGGAACATTTCAGTGCCAGTCTGGCACAGGGAGGATAGCTTCATTGGCAATCTAGCACAGGGAGGAGCGTTGCAGTGTCACTCTAGCAAAGGAAAAAGAATGTCAGAGGTGAACAGGGAGGAAAGTTTCAGTGTCAGTCTAGCAAAGAGAGGAACCTTTCATTGTCAGTGTAGCACACTGATGTGCATTTCAGTAAAGCACAAGGACGAGCATTCCACTGTGAATCTTTCAGACGGCTGAGCGTTTCAGTTTCAATCTGGAACATTTAAGAACCTTTCAGTGTCAATATAGCAACGGGAGGAGCTTTCAGTGTCAGTCTAACGCAGGGTGGTTTTTCAGAGTCAGTCTACTACAGTGAGGAGCGTTTGAATCAGTCTAGCACAGGGAAGAGCGTATCAGTTTCAGTTTGGCACAGAGAGGAGCCTTTAAGTGTCAGCCTGACATTAGGAATAGTCTTTCAGTGACAGTCTTGCACATAGAGGAGCCTTTCAGCATCAATCTGGCATAGAGAGAAGTGTTTCATTGACATGTCTAGCACAGGGAGGAGTGTTTTAGGGTCAATCTAGCACGGAGAGGAGTATCTGTGTCAGTCTTACACAGAGCGGTACCTTTCATGTCAGTCTAGCACAGGGAGAAGATTGTCAGCGTCAGTCTGGCACAGAGAAAATCCTTTCAGTGCTAATCTTGCACAGGAAGGAGCCTTTCAGCGTTAGTAAAACACAGGATAGAGCCTTTCTGTTCCATGCTAGAACCGGAGGATCAATGGTAGTCTAGAACAGTGAAGAGACTGTTAGTGTTACCCTAGCACACAGAGGAGCGTTTCAACGTCAATCTTGCACAGAGTAACACACGTCTGTGTTACTCTAGGAATCAGAAGAGCGTTTCAGTGTCAGTTTGACAAAGTACAGGGCGTGTCTGTGTCAGTCTAGCACAGGTAAAAGCGCTTCAGTGTGAGTCTTGCATATAAAGATGCGGTTCAATATCAGTCTATCACAGGTCGGAGCGCTTCAATGTCGGTCTAGCACAGGGGGGAGAGTTTTAGTGTCAGTCTAGCACAGGGAAACCGAAATCCATTGTCAGTCCAGTAAATGAGGAGAGTTTCCGTTCTCCCCTTATGACATGGAGGAGACTTTCAGTGGCAGTCTAGCACAGAGAGTTTCAGTGTCAGTCTAGCGGAGGGAGGTGCGTGTCAGTGTCAATCTAGCAGAGGATTCAGCGTTTCAGTGTCAGTCCGGGATAGTGAGAAGTCGTTCTCTGTCTTTCAGTGTCAATCTGGCACACAGAAGAGCTTTTCAGTGTCTTTCAGTGTCAATCTGGTACAGAAAGAAGTCTTTCAGTGCCAGTCTAGCCCAATGAGGAGCGTTTCATTGTCAGTCTATCACAGAGAGCGGCGTTTCAATATCAGCTTAGCACAAAAGGAGCATCGGAGTGTCAAATTAGCAAGGAAGAGGATTCCAATATCAATCTAGCACAGGGATGAGCGTTGCCGTGTCAGTCTAGCGCAGAAATCGGCGTTTCATTGTCAGTCTAACACAGAGAGGAGGCTTCCAGTGTCAGCCTAGCACAGAGAAGAGCCCTTCAGGGTCAGTCAGGCACAGGTAGGAGCATTTCACTGCTAGTCTCAGTGCCAGTCTAGCACAGGGAGCGCTTCATTGCTAGTCTAGCACAGGGAGTGCTTCAGTGCTAGTCTAGCACAGGGAGCGCTTCATTGCTAGTCTAGCACAGGGAGTGCTTCACTGCTAGTCTAGTACAGGGAGTGCTTCAGTGCTAGTCTAGTACAGGGAGTGCTTCAGTGCTAGTCTAGCACAGGGAGTGCTTCATTGCTAGTCTAGTACAGGGAGTGCTTCACTGCTAGTCTAGTACAGGGAGTGCTTCAGTGCTAGTCTAGCACAGGGAGTGCTTCAGTGCTAGTCTAGCACAGGGAGCGCTTCATTGCTAGTCTAGCACAGGGAGTGCTTCAGTGCTAGTCTAGCACAGGGAGTGCTTCAGTGCTAGTCTAGCACAGGTAGCGCTTCATTGCTAGTCTAGTACAGGGAGTGCTTCACTGCTAGTCTAGTACAGGGAGTGCTTCAGTGCTAGTCTAGCACAGGGAGTGCTTCAGTGCTAGTCAAGAGCAAGAAGGGTTTCAGTGTCAGGGCTAGCACAGGAAGTGCTTCAGTGCCAGTATTGCACAGGGAGCGCTTCATTTCAAGTCTTTCACAGACTGCGCTTCAGTGCTAATTTGGCACAGGAAGTGCTTGAGTCAGCCAAATAGAGCAAGTGTTTTACAGATAGTCTAGCATAGCAAGTGTTTCACAGTCAGTCACCTACAGTAAGTGTTTCAGTGTCAGTCTAGCATAGCAAGTGTTTCAGTGTCAGTCTAGCATAGCAAGTGTTTCAGTGTCAGTCTAGCATAGCAAGTGTTTCACAGTCAGTCAACTACAGTAAGTGTTTCAGTGTCAGTTTAGCACAGCAAGTGTTTCAGTGTCAGTCTAACATAACAAGTGTTTCAGAGTATGTCTAACATACCAAGTGTTTCAGTGTCAGTCTAGCATAGCAAGTGTTTCAGTGTCGGACTAGCACAGCAAGTGCTTCTGTGTCAGTCTGCATAGCAATTGTTTCAGTGTCAGTCTAGCATAGCAAGTGTTTCACTGTCAGTCTAGCATAGCAAGTGTTTCAGTGTAAGTCTAGCATAGCAAGTGTTTCGGTGTCGGTCTTGCATACCAAGTGTTTCTGTGTCAGTCTAGCATAGCAAGTGTTCCAGTGTCAGTCTAGCATACTAAGGGCTCTCTCACAGTGGCAATTTAGTTCGCCAAATTCATCATTGTCAGTCTAGCATGGCTAAAATGTCTGAAAGTCTGTCTAGCACAGCAAGGATATTACAGTGTCACTTTAGTTGCAGGCAGTACGAGTTGTGGAGGGTATAAAATGCAAAGCTCCAGTTGTTAAAGTGTGGATATACACTGCTGTAGTCTTCTGTACTAAGGGATCTTAGTTTCAAGAGATTTGCAGCGAGGTGTAGTGTCACACTTCAAGGTAGTACACATAAATCAGTCACACGTAACTAGGAGTCGTGACATATCTGGATATAATATAAATGTTGCATGTTGGCCCTTGGTGATAGCCCCTGGTGGGACTTGACGAGTACAACTCATGAAATAAGCAACAGTCTCAGGTAAACAATAAATAATCTTTGTAGCGTCTCATTTTAAACAAAAAATCTAGAAGTACTCACTTGAGATTGTTGTGGTGCCGAGCAGCGATTGTTGGAGCGTTTGATCGTGGCGGGTATCGGGCTGGGACTGTTGTGGGTGTCGTGCAGAGACTGTGGTGGGTGCTGGGTAGTGACTGTGGTGGATGATGGGCAGGGTTGCCAAAAGTATTATAATTTAAAGCACAAGTGATGTAAAATGTGACAGTGTAAGACCACGGAGGAAGAACTGAAAGAGGACTTTTATTAGGTACTTTCGTATGTTAATACATCTTCAGAAGGAATGATGATTCCTCTTAAAGATGTATTAATATACGAAAGTACGTAAGGAAATTCCTGTTTCAATTCTTCCTCTTGGTCTGACACTGTCATATTATATGTATATGTATATGTATATATATATATATATATATATATATATATATATATATATATATATATATATATATATATATATATATATATATATATATATATATATATATATATGTCGTACCTAGTAGCCAGAACGCACTTCTCAGCCTACTATGCAAGGCCCGATTTGCCTAATAAGACAAGTTTTCCTGAATTAATATATTTTCTCTAACTTTTTTCTGATGAAATGAAAAAGCTACCCATTTCATTATGTATGAGGTCAATTTTTTTTATTGGAGTTAAAATTAACGCAGATATATGACCGAACCTAACCAACCCTACCTAACCTAACCTAACCTATCTCTATAGGTTAGGTTAGGTTAGGTAGCCGAAAAAGTTAGGTTAGGTTAGGTTAGGTAGGTTAGGTAGTCGTAAAACAATTAATTGATGAAAACTTGGCTTATTAGGCAAATTGGGCCTTGCATAGTAGGCTGAGAAGTGCGTTCTGGCTACTAGGTACGACATATATATATATATATATATATATATATATATATATATATATATATATATATATATATATATATATATATATATATATATATATAACTGAAAACTCACACCCCAGAAGTGACTCGAACCCATACTCCCAGGAGCAAGCGCAACTGGTATGTACAAGACGCCTTAATCCACTTGACCATCACGACCGGACAATAATGAGGTGATAGCCGAGGCTATTTGAACCACCCCACCGCCGGCACTCGGATAGTAATCTTGGGCATAGCATTTTACCAAATCACCTCATTCTTTGGGGCACACGTGAGGAACACAAATGCGAACAAGCCTGAATGGTCCCCAGGATTATGCCCAAGATTACTATCCGAGTGCCGGCGGTGGGGTGGTTCAAATAGCCTCGGCTATCACCTCATTATTGTCCGGTCGTGATGGTCAAGTGGATTAAGGCGTCTTGTACATACCAGTTGCGCTTGCTCCTGGGAGTATGGGTTCGAGTCACTTCTGGGGTGTGAGTTTTCAGTTGCATATTGTCCTGGGGACCATTCAGGCTTGTTCGCATATATATATATATATATATATATATATATATATATATATATATATATATATATATATGCAGAATAACCACATATGAAAAATAGAAAATGCTTAACGCGTTTTCGGCTAATTCGCCTTCATCAGAGCAAAGTAGAATGAATCATTCTACTTTGCTCTGATGAAGGCGAATTAGCCGAAAACGCGTTAAGCATTTTCTATTTTTCATATGTGGTTATTCTGCATACTTGGATCAGTGTTTTTGTGATCATTGTTGCATATATATATATATATATATATATATATATATATATATATATATATATATATATATATATATATATATATATATATATATATATATATATATATATATATATATATATATATATATATATATATTTAGTATATTTTGGTAGCAGTCTTTCCTGTAGACATATATTATTAAATATGACCGAAAAAGTAACCGAAACCGAGTAACTTGAAACTGTAAATTGAAAAGTAACTTGAAACCGGCCATATACTGCAGGTATGTTGACGACATTTTTACACAGGTACCTGATGTCAGGCATCTGCAGGAGCTGAAGGAGGCGTTTGAGCAGTGTTCCGTGCTGCGTTTCACTTACGAGATGGAAAAGGATAGGAAGCTGCCCTTTCTAGATGTAACAGTCATGGAAAAGAGCGGAGGTTTCCACACTGCAGTCTACACTAAGGAAACGAACATAGGAATGAGCCTAAATGCCAACAGCGACTGCCCAGACAGGTACAAGAGGAGTGTTATTAACGCTTATGTCGACCGTGCTCTCAGCCACAGCTCAGAATGGAAGCAAGTCGACGAAGAACTCTGTAGGGTAAGGCAGGTCCTAGTCAACAACGGCTTCTCCAATGGTTTCGTCGAAGACATCATAAGAAGGAAAGTGAAACGCCATGCAACCTCTGAAGAGACAACTAACACAACACCTATACCCCCTATTAGACTATTTTACAGGAACTTCTTTTCCACAGCTCATAAAACGGAGGAAAGGGTCCTGAATGATATTGTTAATAGAAACGTTATCCCTACAGACAAAAATCAGAGGATACAACTGACGATTTACTATAAAACCAGAAAAACGGCCAGCCTACTCATGAGAAACTCTCCAGACACAAAACAGAACGCTTTAAAAGAGACTAACGTCGTCTATGCCTTCAAATGCCCTCTTGGGGACTGTAAGCTCCAAAAAACCCAGTATATAGGCAAGACAACAACATCTCTTTCTAGGCGTTTAACGATGCATAAGCAACAGGGCTCCATTAAGGAACATATAATCTCTTCCCACAACCAAACCATCGCCAGAGAAATCCTAGCAAACAACACAGAAATCATCGATAGATACAGCGATAGCAGGCGGCTTGACGTTTGCGAGGCACTACACATCAAGAAGTCAACACCAGCAATCAACAGCCAATTAATGCACAACTATATTCTACCCACCTCAAGACTCCGCTCCAATATAGAAGCATCAAGAAATATGGACCAATAGGCTTTCTACAATCACTTCTATTCAATACCCATTGTTTCGTGTTCAGTCTTGTGTAGATGAAATTAATACTCTATTAATGCCACCTCTTGTTCTGTCTTGTGTTGATGAAATTAATACCCTATTAATGCCACCTCACCCTATCCACCTCTCTCAAATGTAGATATAAACAAAATCGGAGATGCGTAAGTTCTATTCAGTTGTGTATTTGTAAACTAAAGTCTTTGAAAATGTAATAAGTTTTACGAAACGCGCTCGTGTCGCGTCAGACTAGAAATAAAAATGAATTTTGGAGAATTGATTTTTGATTTACCTCCAACAGTGAAAAGAAATGTACGAACGATTGAGAAAATTCGTGTTAGAATTATTAATCTTACTTTTTCGGTCATATTTAATAATATATATATATATATATATATATATATATAAATATATATATATATATATATATATATATATATATATATATATATATATATATATATACATATATATATATATATATATATATATATATATATATATATATATATATATATATATATATATATATATATATATATATAAAGGAGAGAGAGAGAGAGAGAGAGAGAGAGAGAGAGAGAGAGAGAGAGAGAGAGAGAGAGAGAGATAGATTACATTTAAACCTCGGTCTATGAGTTTAATCCTAGAGTCAGTCAAGCATTCACAGTCAAGACCAGTCACAAACAGTCATAACCAAAGGCATTCAAGCATGTACAGTTGTGGTAGCAACCAGTCATACATTCAGTTTTGGTAGTAACCAATCATGCATTCAGTTGTTGTAGAAACCAGTTAGTTAGGCATTTACTATTTGCCAGACACTTACAGTCAATCAGGCATTCACAGTCGCAACCAGTTTAATGAGAGTGGCTCAGGCAGTCTGCCTCTCGGGCCACCAGCTGAAAGATAGGAAGCCCACCGTATTAATACCGTCCAGCTTTCAGCGATTACGGAGAGGACCGGGTGAGGCTAGATCCTACCTATCAGTACTTACATATCCGTGACTACCGGGAATTGAAGTCCAGCTCTTTATGCCCCAAGGCCGCCTAGCCTTGCTGTACCCGTTGCCGGGAGCTTTGGAGCTTTTAGGAAGTTGGAGGAGGGGGGAGCTTTGGGAGCTTCAGAAATATTCGTCAAATATCCAAAAAAAGTTAAAATGGTAAGCAAATCTGTTGGCATCTGGCATCAGATTCGTGCAAAGTTCACCCTGATATGTTAAAAAAAATCAGTTTTATACGATTATTTTTACTAATAAATCCGGCCGCGGCGGCCACATCCCTTATCGGAGTTAATTAGGGCAGCGCACAATAGTTGTCTTACCTAATTGCATTAAAACAATCGGATTTTGTGCAAAAATATCGGGAAAAATACGCCAATAACAGCATACTTTTACTCGATGGCAACTCTTTCTAGTAGGTCGGCAGCACACCTGAAGAGCACAGTGATTGCATGTTTATCATAGAGAGAAGCATGTCTATCATAGAGAGAAGTTGGGCTGCAACGCGCTATTGTGTCAAAGCGCATATCCCGCAGTTTGTTTGCCCCTTTCCCTTTTGTTTCACAAAGCTTTCCTTGTTGAAGAAAGGTAACATGAGACAATGTTGGATGCCGTACTATATGAGAAAGGGGAGGGTTCGCACACCCCTCCCTCAAGCCACACACACCCATACCCTTCCTCATGCCATACACACCCTCACCCCGCCCCATGCCACACACACCCTCACCCCGCCCCATGCCACACACACCCTCATCCTGCCTCATACCACACACACACACACCTTCACCCCGCCCTATGCCATACGTACCCTCACCCTGCCTCATACCACACACACACACACCTTCACCCTGCCCTATGCCACACGTACCCTCACCCTGCCTCATGCCACACACACTCTCTTCTACAAATTAGAGGTATTGTCAGGTAACATCACCGTGACGAGGTAACTGAGGAAAGAAGCACATATCAGCGAATTGTACAATGTGGCTGCAGCTGGCAACAATCATAATGGACGAAGAGGAGGTGGCCACGGGAGAGAATCAGAAAGAACGAGAATCCGTCTTGGATACAAATATCTGTGAAGATTCGAAATGGAAACAACAGTTGAGCAGCAGAGTTGCAGAATTTGTGATGAGAGTGACGGACACCGCCTTGACCACTACCTGAGAGAATGTGAACACCTGAGAGACATTAGAAATATGTATGTGTAGAATAAAAACCCCACAAGAGCATGAGTTAGGAAAACTATTTATCAAATATTGACCTTGTTCTTAAAAGATTTCCCATTTTGCACCTGCAAGATAACGTAAGATTTTAAGGGTTAACACTTGTTAATCTTCTTGTTTGAGGAGCTGTTCACTTGAGACAGTTAAGCAAGTCCCAGCTGCAGGGTGTCTGGGTACAAGTGACAGGATGAACAACCCAGCAGGTAATCTTCTGTGCCATCATGGGTTCCTACACACCTCCACTCAAGCGGAAGGAGTCCGTAGGACTCAAGTTCAGCTGTAATGCTGATTCCGACCTTGTATGCACGACGATCTTCGATGTGTTACAGTTAAAGACGGACGAAATAGTTGGTTATCAACCACTGCAAGGGAACAGAGTGATGGTGAAATTTGAAAACAATGTGGCGTGTTCAGAGTTTCTAAAGAAGTATGATGATGACATTATCAGTTTACCTAATGGGAAAGGTTCAGTATAAGTGATTAATTTGAGCAAAGCGTTTACATACGTTTCTGTGAGGGATGCGCCATTTGAAATGTTGAATGCAACTATTATACACATACTGGAACAATATGGGAAAGTGGACAATGTTCGTTTCAATAAATATACCTATGGACCAGGGAAAAGGTGTTTAAATGGAACAAGAACAGTAAAGATGGAACTTTACCGTAATATTCCTTCATCAATGTCAGTAGCAGGTCATTATATTAAATTTATATACAGTGGACAATTGCAAACTTGTTTTAAGTGTGGGCGTACTGGTCACATCGCTGCTGCCTGCCAGGTGGAGGCAACAGAACGGATCAACATTTTTCATGAATATGACTTTCCGCCATTAATAGAGGTCATTGTATCAGGAAATGAACCCACTGTTGTAAATACTGCAGTTTCAGGTGGGGTAGATGAAGTAACCCACAACTCTGTACGTGAGACGTCTGTGGGAGTGACTCCCAGTGCGAGTGAGGACGGTGCAGGTAATTTAGGTCAGGACGGTAACGGTGAAGCAGACAAGGATGGTGCAGACGACGCTGCTCAAGAAGCTTTACCTGCTGTTGTTCAACCTGGCGAGGGTGAGGTAAGTCAGGAAAATATACATGTGGACGCCCATAACATAGGCATTGACGCTGCCCAGAGTTGCGACGCTGACGGTGGTGCTGACCCTGGTGAGGTGACGATGGAACAAGTAATTGGTTGTCAACTGGATGTAGAGGATGACACCATGGAGGATAGTGATGTAGAAATGTCTGTGCAGAGGGCAACTCCACCCTCTTCAGTAAGGTAGGGTAGAAAGGGTAAGGGTCGTGTGAAGGCTGGGGGTGTGAAGGCTAGGGGTGTGAAGGCTAGGGGTGTGAAAGCTGGTTATGTAGCCAGTCATGTGAAGACACGTGGGAAAAAATTAACCCAGAGTATTGATCTGATACGTATGAAGGACTGCGCCGCTAAATTAAAATCTCTGATAAAATTGACCAGGTGGTTACCGTTGAAATTCACCGTGACCAAGGCCACGAAGAGTCACCGAAACGTAGCGAGGGCACAGTACAAGAGGTGAGTGAGTACAACCGGATTTTTAGATATGTATGGTATGGTAGATACCAACCAATTAAACGAACTACTCTATGTAAAGGTAAAAAAAACGGTGGAATAGGAATACTGAATGTGTACCATAAGTCATTGGCAATCTTATGTGTTACCTTTAGAAAGGAGACAATGCAGAGGAATAATGTAAATGCGCTAGGACATTACTTTTGTAAATTACGTGTTAGCTACTTGATACATATGCCAGAGTATACTGACCTGGCCTTTATTTCACCGCACTTTTATTCATGTGCAATTGATGTTCTCAGGCGGATTTGTAATATTTAAAGTTTTTTTAATGATGGACAGAAAACAAGTGTATGATGTTATACTACCAAATATAGTTCCTAGAGTAGAGGAGGCATATCCACTCTTTAGCTGGCAAGTAATATGGGCAAACCTTCATGTTAAATTTATTGCCCCAAAACAACGTGAGCTGTTGTATCGCTATATTCATGAGACCCTTCCTACTAATGATAGGTTGTTGATGTTGGGCATTAAGGACAACAATAGATGTGACCAATGTACTGAAGTTGAGAATAATATGCATATATTTTATTTATGTAAGCAGAAAGTTGTTCTTGTAAACTGGATTAGAGACACTCTTAAAGCTTTATGTGGACCAAGTATTAGAATGGAGTTAATGAGGTTTTTAATGTTTCATATTGATATAAACTGCAAGAAAATTAAGAATACAATAATTATGTTACTTTCTGATTACATTTTTTGTGTGTGGATAGGCAGGCAGGAAGGTTACTCAGTAGACAAAATATTGAAGTTCTTGCTAGGCAGGATCGGGTATAACATTTGGAGGTTACGGCTCATGCTCGGTGATGATATGGATAATTTGTTTACTGAGAATTATATAAAATATATATAAATGAAATAATTTCCCCTGTAAATTAACGTAATCTCCAATTTTTGTAAATCATTTAAAGAAAAATAATTATAACATTCAGGGGTTTTAAAGATCATGTTCTGTGATAATGGAATATTTGTTCATTGAGAATTATAATGCAGTATTGCCTCGTAAAACTTATGTATAAATTATTTATATTCTATTTTCTTAAATAAAGATAAAAAAAAATTGGGGAGTGTTGTACATGCGGTTATGACGGTATGTCCACTCACAGGATGTGGGGCGCGGCCCAATAAACTCGCCCCTCAGGGCAAAATATAAAACTCTCACCCCCGCCTCATGACACACGCACACATCCTCACGCTGCCTCACGCCGCATACACACCCTCACCCTGCCTCATGCCGCACACACACACACCCTCACCCCGCCTCATGCCACAAACACACACCCTCACCCCGCCTGATGCCATACACCCTCACCCCGCCTCATGCCATACACCCTCACCCCATCTCATGCCACACACACCCTCCTCTCATTTCATGCCCAATACATGCTCACACTGCCTTAAGCAACACACCCTCATCCCGCCTCATGCCACACACACTCCCTCGCCTCACCTTATACCACACCCACCCACACACCACCTCATGCCACACTCATCCTCATCCCCACCTCATGCCACACACACACACCCTTACCACACTTCATGCCACACACAGCCTCACCCCACCTCATGCCACACACACACACCCTCACCCTGCCTCATGCCACACACCCTCACCCCACTTCATGCCACATACCCTCATCCCCACCTCATACCACACACCCTCACCCCACCTCATGCTACACACTAACACCCTCACCCAGCCTCATAACACACACACCCTCACCCAGACTCATTCCACACACCATCACCCCACCTCATGCCACACACATCCTCAACCCACTTCATGCCACACACCCTCACCTGGCCTCATGCCACTCACACCCTCATCCCACCACTTGTCACACACCCTCACCATACCTCATGCCACACACACCCTCACCTCGCCTTATGCCACAAATACCCTTACCTCGCCTCATGCCAAACACACACTCTCACCTCGCCTTATGCCACACACTTTAAACTCGCCTCATGCCACACACACCCTCACCCTGCCACATACATCACACACCCTCACCCTGCCTCATGCCACACACACTCTTCCCTTGCCTCATGCAACACACACCCCTAACTTCGCCTCATGCCATACACACACCCTGCATCATGCCACACACACACACACACACACACACACACAC